GTTGCAAGTGATGATCCAAATGTTCAAAACAATAGTTATGAATGTATAGAATATATTAATACAACTAAATATGAGAATGTCGTTTTAAATCTTTTGTTATCTTAGTTGACATCAAAATCAATGAATATTCGATATATTACAACTAAAATACTTTTGCATCCTTCTCAATTATCTCTTATTCCATTTAAACAATGCTGGTCCATTGAAAAATGTTATTTATTCACTTTTGGTTCAATATGCTACTGGGCATATTGGTAACAATGTTCGAAGGAACGAATTCAATGATATTGATTTAGATTTCATTAAATCTACAAAAGTATCTCGCTTCGCTTTCATGTATCTATGAGAAAAAAAAACTGAAGACACCATGGAATAAAGAACAAAATAAATTATTTACTTCGTTAAAATGATAATTTTATGCACAATTTATTTGTTTTTGAACATACGTTTCATGAAGAAAAAGACAGAAAAATATATTAATTTGTTGAACAATTTATCTTTTGCGTGTGAAATAGAAATAAATTTTTTTTTTCATAGTAAAACAATCTTCAGATTGTATACGGAATGGAATACCAATCACAATATTGTCTAACGACACTGAGTCTGTCTATAATAAAAAAATATTTTAATTGAAACCTATAGGAAGTGATGCTAGGCATGCATCGATCATGAGTTGTCGGAGATCAGTTAGGTCGTGACTATGGTGATTTTCAGTTAACTAATAAAAGGAAGTAGAAGCAGAAATAAACGATTTCACACTTAACCATGGTGGATCCACATACAGCAGAATGAGTGATGGAGGTCTTCCCCTTCTTCCTCTCCCAAAATTGAAAACACATCCGACTTTCTGCCAAATTCTTAAAAATCTTATGATTCATTCTGATAGAACATCAATTTTTGAGCACTTTTCGACATTTTTTTCGCAGAAAAGAGAATAAAACACTTTTTGTTAACAAAATCTCGCAGAAAGTCCGTGAGCACAGCATTATTTGTTCAGTTTCTATCAAAAAGTTCAATGAGGTGCTTTCTGCCGAATTTGTATCCTCCCTCCCACATTTTTCAAAACAAACAACAACCCTGGTCTGCAGACATACTAAAAAGATCAACAACTTGCAGAAATACTCGAACTAACATTTTAATTATGCTTTAGTGTGTCTCGAGTTTTTGTCAAGGGCGTGGATGTGAGTCTTCTTTCCACAAACACCCATAGCTCACACCCACATACCTAACCCACCCTGTAACAATTAGGGTGGGTGTGAGTATTCTCTTCACTCATTTCTACATCCATACGCACACCCACAGCCACACCTTAGAAAGAGAAGCCACATTCCATATTCGACTCATCTCTCACGCATTGTGAAGTTCACTTATGTATTTCTGGTATTACTATGAAATAGATTATTCTTTATGCGGTTTTCTTATCGAAGTATTTCTTCTAATGAGACCAAAAATATAGAAGAACGTTAAGGTACTTTGATAAATAGTGACATCATACTTATTAATATTTTATTAGAATAAAATAAAATGAAATAATTGGTAGAAAAATAGGAAATATTTAGCAAAAAAACAAAACTACTAAGATTCTAAAATATTGAATTGCTGATTAATCTCATTGATTAGCCATCAATTTATGTTTATTGTGAGCTAGAATAAAAAGAAATAATTGATTTTATATCATACAAATATTTTAAAGTAACAACATGAAACATGTGCATTCATCGATGGTTGGCTACCATTTACTATAGATTGTCATCTGCACATTCATTCCTACATAATATATACATTTTGTACATAATTCAACAATTATGATCAATTCTAGTGATCTAATTGGGATTTTTTAAATTAGGGATTCTGTTTCCAATATAAGATATGCCATACATATCATAACTGAATGCCACCTTCTATCGTGCTGAGAATCTTTTACCATTGAAACTAAATACTGTAGCGACAACCATAGTATGGATCCAGAAATAATTTGTATTCATTCTCTCTATTTACTCACGTATATATTTGAAATTTATATTTGATTTCTTGTATGAAATCAAAGTGTCTGTACAGCATATTTTTTGAAAATAATCTTTTCTATGTTATTGCATACGATGCAAAGAAGATAAATATCACGGAACGAAATATACCTGTATACTTTTCTTTGAGTTTTTCTCTGTTGAAAACATTGAGAAATTGTCTACAAATGATTTATTTTTAATTCTGGTTACGAGTACCCATGTAAACACCAGACGCAGAATATACGCGTGTAATCGCAGTTTCATTGTAGACCGCGTTCAGACGCACTAAAAATTGATTCTCACCGCGTCTGAACGCGTTTTCATTTACAATCGCGTCTATACGCAGCTGAAGAAAATTTTCGAATGCATCTGGAAGCGATTGCAAATGAAAACGCGTTCAGACGCGGTAAAAATCGATTTTCACCGCGTTTGAACGCGGTTTCGTTTACAGTCGCGTCTATACGCAACTGAAGAAAATTTTCAAATGCATCTAGACGCGATTGTAAATGAAACCGCGTTCGGAGGAGGTTACAATCGATTTCTATTCGCGTCTGAACGCGACCAAAAATAAAAAAGCATCTAGACGCGGCCGCAGGAGATTGTGAATCGCGACTGGACGCGATTTTTTACGAGACCGCATGAAAACGCGTTTTATTAAAATTTTTCAAGCGCGTTTGGATGCGGTTTAAGATAGAACGTATCAAGACGCGGTCAGATGGAGATCTGAGCCGTTGCTTAACGCATTTTTTATGGAACCGCGTTTGTACGCAGGTAATAATACTGTTTAGACGCATTTGGATGTGATTTTACGTGAGAGTGCGTCTATACATGATTGACCAAAAACTATTTAAAGGAAGACATAAAATTTTATTATCTATACTCTGGTGGACTTTGGCAAGAATAGAAAGAAATGTTTTGTTTAAAGATTTAGGTACTTATATAAGAGAAAGATGTTTTTATCGTAGCATAATAAATTTCTTTAGAAACTTCATCTTTTAATGTATGAAAAAAGTAATACGAGTGGTCATTAGTATAATGAGACTATCTCTCTACTCTGTACTATTTCTACTAATCGATAGCCTGTTTTCAAAATAAGGGATAAATATAAAAAAGTTTTGCATCAAACCGTAGATCAAGAAGTCTGCTCTCAAATAAGAAAGATAAAATTTATTTTCACTTTTTGATTAAAAAACTCTTTTTGAAGTTTAAGTTATAAATTATGTCCTCAATTTGAACTTTGTTTTAAAGATAAAATATACTTTGTCATAAAATAACTGTACCTCAAGTGTTTAAATGTTATGGTTGGCGTAGTGTTCAATTCATTTCGAATCGTGTGTGTTGTTTTCATTTTATATTGTTACGGAAGGAAGATACACAAGAAGATACTCAAACCCGAATAGAAAATCTAATAGACAAACCTCTTTTCTACGTTTCCTAGACGTACACATCGTCGCTACCTTATCCATTGTGTATACATAAGAAAAACACTCGCAAACTCTGTACTAAGTGCTCTAATGACGTATATAAATTTGCTAAAAAACCTCAAAGAAGATGACATTCTAGAAATTAAAAAAAATCTTTCTATGTTAACATGATTTGAAAAAGCTTTGGTAAACGCTTTTTTATATAATAAAAAAGAAAGACGAAAAAAGTACATGATATTTGATAAAATATAATAGCTATATAATAAGTTCTAGAAGATAGGCACTATTTAGTATTATAAATAATAGTCTTACACGACAAAATAAATGAAAATTATTTGCAAAAGAAAAAGTTGCCGAAAATTTTAAAGAAATTTTAATATACGCAATTTATTTTATACAAGTTTATTTTCATACAAGAATATCAATATTAACAAATGAGATATAATTTAGGCAGAAAACGTTCTATTGATAAATGCATTTGTACATAATATAGATATGAAGTCACGATTCATATATACTTTCTGTTTCATTCGACAACGATTGTGGTCACATGTGGCTTCATGGTATGTATACTTGCTTCTTAATTGCTAGTTCACTTGTTCTAATCTCATTTCTATCGTTTTAGATAAATCAACATTTCAACCTTCCGTTCGCCTATAGTGAGGTAAAGACCATCGTTAGAGGATATCGATGGCGACTCAGTTCAAACCTGAGACGGATTGCAATATTTTTTTAAAATCTTGAATGTCGAATCGAACGCGTTTAGACGCGATTTAATTTGTAATCGCGTCTAACCGCAATTTGGTTTGGAACCGCGTCTCCAATGAAACATTTCTTGCGTCTAGCTGCGGTTGGAGAAAACCGCGTCTAGACGCAATTTGTTTTAGAACCGCGTCTCCAGTGAAACATTTCCTGCGTCTAGACGCGGTTTTTTACAACCGCGTGTAGACGCGATTTTCTCCAACCGCATCTAGCCGCAGCAAATGTTTCACTGGGGACGCCTTTTTTGCGTTTCTTCGCTGGGATTGACACGCAACGAAACGCAACTCAGACGCGTTTTTATCAAAAAAATATTTACATGGGTATCTTAGAGAATGAAAGAATTTTTCATATTTAGCTTATTTTTTTTGTCGATTCTCTTCTTTTAATTTGTTATTTGTTAATAATGGTTCTTGTATCGAACTTTATCGATGACATTTAACAAATGAAAGTTAGTTTTTTGTATTAGTTTCAATGATTTAACTATTTCTTTTTTGCGAGACTATTAGTTTCAGTTTGCTGGGATTTTTTCTGTGTTTATCGTAATACTGAGATACTATTCAGTTATGATTTGTATGAAATATCTTACATTTAAGACAAATGCCCTAAATGAAAATCCTTATTTGGTTACCAGAATTGACCATAATTATTGAATTATCCACCCATGTGGATATGTAGTAGTGATCTCAATTTTTAGTAAATAATAGGCATTCCCGTAGATAATAAGATTTTCCTTTTTATCTTACTAGATTATTTTGGGTTCTTTTGATAGTAATAGTTTCGATGAGCATTGATTAAGATAAATCTATGACTATTTTTTCTGTAAAAACTTGAAAAAAAAATGAAATTACTTTGGTTGTTTTTATTCTTTATATAAAACAGAAAGAAAATTACCTCGTGTCGATTATGATAGGCAAGTTTAATTGAATGAAGTTCTTCACAAAGTACTCCATATCGATAAGCTATTCGAATATTCGGTACATTTGTACGACGAATATTATTACCAGAAACACCAGGTTCTTTATATTGTTGGCCAAGCCAAGCTTTTTTAACCTGAATCATACAAAAAATTAATTTCAAGAAAGATCAATTAAACTTGTAATATCTTACTTGATCCGAGTGACCACTCATTAAAACGGAATTTCGTGCTAATTCACACATATCAATCGATGATAATCTCCATATTTGAGCAGCAATTGAATATTCTTCCATTAATGGTTCCTATAAATTTTATATCATCTTTGTCATTTGTTTTTTTTGTGCGAGATAAAAAAGTTAACTCAATATATATGAAAGATTCAATTCGGAACGCACTTCAAGTTTTATCCTTAATATGAAATGCGGAGTTTTGACTAGATTTTTAGTGATTATCATATGAATTCAAAACGTCAGTGTTTTATCTAGGTTTTATTTTTTTGGATGGGTAACTAGAATTTTCTGAAGAATCTCTGGCTAAAAATTTTTGTCATATAGCGAAGGTACGCAGAAACTCTTTTTCAAAACATAATTGCGCTTTTCGTCTGCTAGTAATCCAATGTGAAAAAAAACTTCGAAATAAAACAAAACGTTGTGAGAAGAAAATAATGGATCTAAATCC